ATTTGATTTGATCTTTTATTTAAAATTGAATAATTATGGGAAAAACTTGCGTGTGATAAAATTGTAATTGTAATTATAAATATAAATATTTTCTTTCTTTATTTATTTATATCTATTAAATTGTATTGTGAGAATAATTGAATGAACGAACGTCAACATGTTATAATTACGTCAGTGTGAGACAATTATTATTTTATTTGGTTATCAGAATGACGTGGCTCAAATAATCTTCACGTTATGCATGATTTGCAAACAGAAACTTCTTTGCTAGAATATAAATCGTTTTGACGCTGATCTCTTTGCAAATGTGTCTGTATAAATTCCATCTCGGTCTGAATATAATTAAAAACATACGATATATGATGCGTACAAAAATTCATTTTATTAAAATGAGCGAAAGACGCGTGCAAAATTTTAATTAAAAATTCATTACGATTCTAAACATTTAAAAGATGTTTTGCTGCCAACATTATTTCACTCTCTAAAAATATTAAAATAATTTAAATATAATTTCAAACTGTTTCCAGTTTTAAGAAAGATACATTAGAGATGTTCTTTAAAAAAATACTTGGTACCAGTTTGTAGTCAGTTGAAATTAACATTAGCATGATCAAATATTCCCAGAGCAATCCACGAATTGTCTCTTATTATCTTCTTCCAGGTACGAGAGGCTCCTCAGAAGAGCGAAGACAGAGGATCTGTCGGAAGTTTCAGGAATTGGCTGCCTCTATCAAAGTGGAGTCGATCGTCAGGGTCGACCAGTCGTTGTATTCGTCGGCAAATGGTTCCCTGCCACTAAAATCAATCTGGACAAGGTAAGACTCTAACTCCATGATACTCTAAAAACGATTGAATCCTTTAACGTTCCAATCTTCTTTTTGATAAATTTTTTTTTCATCAATTTAAAATTCTAAATTTTTTAATAAACCATTATTAAGACTAAAAATAAAAAATATGTCGTATCTTTTATTTTGATATAATATCTATAGCGAATGATTGAAATAAGTAAATAATTAAATATTATTTATTTATTTATTTATTGTATTAAAACACAGATATATATATATATATATAAGAGATTAATTTGAATTCAATCTTCCCAAAAAATTAAAATTTCCAAAAATATTCAGATATTGATAAAATTTATTGATTAAATTGAAGAAAAATGTATTTTGAATTTTCAAAAATATTAAACATGTTATAAATTTATATTATCAAACTAAATTAACAAATATATATAACTATTCTTAGACTGAAATAAACTTTAAAAGCAAGAATATAATAATAATTATTAATAAAATATAATGTTTAACACATTTTTTAAACACATTACTCATCAAAAATGTATCAAACCAAGTAAACTTTTTATAAAAAAATTATTATCATAAGTATTTTTATTTTTATCATGGATTTATAAAACGTTCGAATATTTTTACAACATAAATAATCATTTCCTTTTATTCTCCTTTGAATATTTGAACAATGATTTATTTATTTGAAAAATTTTTTTATTTTCTGATACCTGCAGAATGTTCTGACAAAGAAAATAGAAAAAGGATACTGAAACAAACACAAAAATTTTTACACAAAAATATTGAATCCATTGAAGCTTATTTTTCAAGTTATGAATATTTTATCTTTGCACTAAATAAAACGAGACGGAAATAGAATACGATAGACATAGAGTCTCGCTTCATCTAATAAAAAGTTAAATAGCTTATAACTTGAAAAATAAGCTTCAATGGATATTTATGCATTGAAACTTCTGTATTTGTTTCAACCCTTAGAATTATTTCTGCAAAAAATAAAAATCATTTGTACCGATATCTGAATAATTTTAACAATAATTATATTAATTTTTAACGTAGCTGTTCATTCTTTTGAGTTTACTAAAGTTTCTTACTAAGATTTCTTTACTCAATGAACAAATAATATTGCTTATTATTAAAGAACCAACGAATTCCACCCTTACAACACGAACATGTAATTATATGATGTTTGAACATGTCTGTGCGTAAGATTAACATTCTCTCCTTGACTCTTACCCAGTCATAAAGATACAAAATACAGGAAATTGCATCCAATATTTACTGAAGCATTCTAAAAGATTACACTTACGTTTCATTCCACTTTTTCAAATTTGTACAAATGTTTCAAAATATAGAAATACCATTTTGGGAATATTTTCTTAATAAAAGCAAAAATTATTATGAATCAAAATATATGGTAAAATAGTTTTAATTTATACAAACAAAAATGAAAAAGAAAGAAAACAAATTTTTCAAATCTACATTTTAAAAAGATTAATCTAATATAATATAGCCTATCTTAACTTAACCTATTCTAATACATTAAAGTTAAAAAGATAAGAAATTTAATAAGTTTCAAATTTAATAAGTACAATGATTTGATTCATAAATGTAATAATTCGACATGTTCAACTTTAAACTTATTCTATAGAAATAAATATTAGAAAATATAATATTAAATTTTTCCTTTGAGATATTTATATTTATAAATATTTTTTATGACATATAAATTTTAACCCGATATAGAAAACAATAAAAACGCTTCTATCTCTAGAAAAATACCACAAAGAAAAGATCAAATTGTTCCTTTTCACTTCAGACATCGTTGAAAGTTCAACACGATCTGAGTCACGAGGACATCAAAGAAAGTTTATCGCAAGCCAAATATTGTATATACAACTGATATCAGATAAATATTTTGCTAAAGATTTATCATCATATTTATACAGTCAAGCGAGGTATAAGATTCACAAAATATTTCGCATCCTTGCATAAATTAAGAGAACGAATTTCATTTCATAATTCAACAAATTCACGATCTCACGATAAATAAATACTAAGGCTACATTCGAAAGTGATAAATCGTCCAAGAAGAATCACAAACAAAGCTATAACTGTTCAAAGCACACTTTATATCTGTCGATCTAATAACGCGCAGATACTGCTAAATAAAATCAGAAGAGCAAGCAATCTTCGTTCACGTGCGCTTCGCGCCGCTTCAAATGTTCATCCACGGATCTTTAATCATCTTTGGAATCGTCGTGAACACGTGAACAAATAGGAACCACCACGTGATTCGAAAACATAGAGCAAAGTTGTAAAGCAAGAGCACGAAATCAATACGCGCCTCTAGGTAGGTTAGCCTCGCCTCTTTTATTATGGTTAGCGTGTTTAGCGGTTCTTTACAAGCTGATCGATCCGTTTTAACATACCTCGACATCTGGAGGAAATTGTCTTTAGCGGTTTTCCGCGATGAGGTTGAGGGTATTTTTATGATAAATTTAATTTGTCGATGAATTTTATAATAAATTTCTATAATTATTTAGAGAAAAATGATCACGTCCCATCTTAATGATTTTTTAATATATTGTCGAGATTATCATTCTGGATGATTTATTAAGATTTTGTTTGTCAAAAAATTAACAAAAATGTAATTGCGGTTTTTAAAAACGTTTAAGTTAGATTAAGTTAGATAATTTTAATCAGGTTTACTGTTACGGACAATTGTGATGGAGTCAAATTAAGAAAGCAACCTAAACAAACAAACCTAATGCAAACTATTAAATCGATTAACAGTGAGTTTTTAATTAAGTTTGAAGTGAAATTAAACTTAGAATTAACATAAATTAATTTTAGTTAATTAGTTAGAGAAATTTATTTCATTTTTAGTTTCATGTTTGAGTTAGATTGAGTTGTAGTTTGAGTTAGATTAGATTAGATTTATAATTTTTTAATAAATAACTTCCAAGTAAAATATTCATAACTATTCAGTTCTTGACAACATATTAAAAAATCAAAAATAAAGGATAATATTTTTTTATAAATACTTATAAAAAATTTGTCATGGATAGAGTAAAATTGTAAGATATGTTCTTGCTAAAATATATATGGTTTAATGAGAACTATATTTGATTCATCGAGCAGATATCGATTTTAAATAACATTTTGAAAAAAAGAAGAAGATCTAAAACATTATGATAACAATTATTGAGAATCTTTCTATTATATGGTCTTATATTTGAATCTGTATGAGTCAATTTTTGAATTCGTTCCATATTGAATCTACATTATTCAATTGATTAATCCTTAATTCTCTTATGTTTAAGTCTATATGACCTAATTATATCTTGGATTGATCCTTCTATATTTAAATCTATTATAATTATATAATTAGATTGAATCTTTTATATTTGACTCCATTAATTGTCTTTCAATCAAATTATATCTTTAGATTAATGTTATTAACTGTATTGAAATCAGATTTATTTATCTTATATTATTTATTTATCTTATTTATCTTATTTGATTAATAAAAATTTGATAATCAAACGAAATAAATTTCGAGTGAAAAATAGATTTAGATTTATAAAATTTAGATAACTGGAATTTGAATTCATTAGAAAAGAATATTCAATTATTTGAGTTTGATTTTAGAAGATTCTTTTCGTTGAAACAAGATGAATAATATATGAAGAAATATTCAGTTCAGACGTTGATAAAAAAAATTAACGAATTATTTATTACTAAGTCAGAAGAAATAACCGGATATGATTAGAATTATTCATTGGCTCGATCGAATGTTTATTCAAAACGTCGCTTATTCGATGATTCCACTAAATCCTGCATGACGTACCTACTTTGAAACGATTGTCGCTTGATCGCTTTGACCATAGGTTGCTATGTTGAGCCCTTTAAGTGAATCATCTTGCATCACTGACGCTGCCTCTGACCAAGATAGACGAGGTTCAAAGTTGAACATGAAAGTTCAGGTTTCGTTCGTGAAAATATTTCTAATGCATATTTCATATTTTATTATAGAAAAAAAATTTTGCATATACATTTATATACATTTGTAGGATATCTTAAGAGAATCTATTCTAGGGATTAGGACAAATATAAAAGTTGATGTAAATGAAAATCTTGTTTGTTAGCTTATAAACAAATTACAATTAGACGAAGCAAGACTTAGATAGAGTAAGATTATCTCTGTCATACTATCGTTGCGTTATATCTCTTTTCATCTGATGAAAATTTAATTAAATCATTTATAACTTAAATTGTTTATTATAACTTTATTAATTTAAATTGTTTATAACTTAATAAATAATATTTTTATATATACCAACTTTTGTATTTGTTTTAATATTTATATAAAATTGATTTTAAAAAAGAGATATCCCATGAATATATTAACATTTTGCATATATATAAGATAATAATAGAATAATGGATTTTTTTCGAAAAAATAAATCGAAAATTTAAAATAAAGTACAAAAGTGAAAGTTAATTATTTTTTTGTGGAATTATAGTTGTATCATCACTCTATATTGCATAAATTATTTACAAAAGTTTTATTAAATAGTTATATTTAAATATAAATATAGGAAATATTATATTTCCTTCGTCAAATTTAAATCATTTAATAATAAAAATTATAAAGATAAGAAATTTAGATCAAGATAATTGCATTTGTTTACTCAGTTTACATTTGCGTATTAATAATTCCAATTATAATTTCCAATTATGATGAAGTATTTTGTTGCGAATTTAAGAAGTGGTTTTTATTTGAAGTAGAGTTTCACTTAACGTTTTCGCTTTAATGGACGACTGATTTTTCTTTGGTTTACGATTTCTTCCAACTTTGTCTACTTTCCACTGTCACTTATAACAGTTTAAACAACTCTTTCTAGTCGAGGTTGATATTGGATACAATATCAATCTTAAATACAAAAAAAAATAGGAAAGTTTAATAGTGTATAACTCTTAAACGAAATCAAAAAAATTAG